ATGAGTTCAAAGCTTCCTTGCACCATCTAGTAAACAATTTCCAAAAAAAAAAAAAAAACTTACATTGCACCATTTATTTAATTTATAGATTGATTTTATAGCATCAGTATCGTAAAATTTAATACAAATTATAATCTCCCATATTGTTTCTTGGAAAAGAAAAGAATAGGCACATATAATCTCTCATATTATTTTCTCTATTACTCAATTTCAGCTGAATGTTGGGATAGATTTGGTGATGTCTATGTCCAAAAAATCGTCCGCCTCGGTGTCCAGGAGGCCTCACTATCCCGCCTTTGGGTTATATGGACCTAGGCATAGCAGTAGGTGCCAGACGCCTAGCTCCTACCACCCGAGCGCCCACTCAAGGCCCTTTTAGGGAGACGAAAAATAGCTACACACCCAAAAGGGATTTTTAGTAATTTCCCCTGTTGAAAAGGGGGAAAATAGGCATTCGATACGAATCTTTTTGGAGACCAAAGAGGTTTGCAAAAGAGAGGTTTTGGCATCCCAAAGTAAACGATTGAAGTCAACTTCAATTGGGTTTGGAAGTAGCCGGTCCCCAAACATCCGAATGGACAATTGCAAAAGGAGTACTACTTCTATTACCACTTTAAGGATATGAATTTTTAACACGCCCTTGCTTCTTGGCTTTCGACCCTACGCTTGCTGGAGTCAAAGTCTTGCCTAGCTCTACTTTCTTTCTTATACCAGGAGATTGCACGGCCAAAAAGAAACTCCGAAGCGAAGCATGGGATCTGGATACCATCTTTTTTAGCATTAGGAGATGTCATTTGTAACCTTCAAAAGTTAGCCATCTGTGTCCTTCAAAAGTCAGCCATTTGTATCCTCAACCAAACTTCAAGTACAAGTGTTTGAGAGAGGAATTGAAGTGTATTACCACACATCCATATGGATAAGTGAAACAAGTTGGAGCATAAGAGGCTTAGGGCTCGTTTGGATCCTAGGGCAAACAAAACCATGTTTTGGATCATAATATGGTTATGCAAACCCTGGTTATTGAAAAACGACAGTTTGGATAGCCCGTAGATAATACCCAAGTTATGCAAATCCCTCGTTTGGATTATCTATCTGCATAACCTGGGTAGGTATGAAAACATTTTCTTGCAAAATATTTTCATGTAAAAATTACGTTACACATATTTGGTATGTAACTAATACATATAAAATGTTTTCATAGCTTAGTTGGTTAGAGCACCCGTTTAGTAAGCAGGAGGTCTTGAGTTCGAGTCTCAATAAAACCATGATGCACCCCTCCTACATCTCATTTAAGAGAATGGCTTGGGGCCTTGGTGGTAGTATTCCCGAGAGTATCATGGTGACGTCTCTGACACCATTCTCACGAAAGGGTAGGGGCCCAAATCCCCACTACCTTACAACTTCTAATTACCCAAAAAAAAAAACAAATACAGATAAAAAATTTTCCCATTGTAAAAAATTTAACTAAAATTTTAGAGAGAGAAACTCCACCAAATTTTAGAGAGAGACACTACCTGAAAAATTTAGAGAGAGAAACTATCTCAACATTTTTAAAGAGAAAACCTATCTAAAACTTCGAATTTGACAAAAAATAATTTAGGTAATTTCTTCTCTAAAAATTGATATAGTTTCACTATCTAAAGTTTCAAGATACTCTCTCTAAAACTTGAAATTTAATAATTTCTCTCTAAAATTTTTGAGATAGTTCTCTCTCAAAAAAGTTTCTGGTTGTTCTCTCTCTAAAACTTAAAATTTGAGATAGTCTCTCTCTAAAAAATTAAGTAGTTTCTCTCTAAAAAATTAAGTAGTTTCTCTCTAAAAAATTTAGGTAGTTTCTCTCTCTAAAATTTGATATAATTTTTCTTTCTAAAATTTTAAGATGCTCTATCTATCAAAAGCTTAAAATTTGAGATAATTTTCCTTTAAAATTTGTCAACGGCTTCTTTCTCTAAAAATTTAGGTATTTTCTCTCTCTAAAATTTTAAGATTCTTTCTAAAACTTGAAATTTACGATAATTTTGAGATAGTTTCTTTCCCTGAAATTTTTTAGATAATCGCCCTCTAAAATTTGATATAGTTTCTATCTCTAAAATTTTAAGATACTTTCTCTCTCTAAAGCTTGAAATTTTGAGATAGTTTCTCTCACTAAAAATTTTCTAATATTGCTTTCTTAAAAGTTTAGGTAGTTTCTCTCTCTAAAATTTGATATAGTTTAACTCTTTAAAATTTTATGATACCTTTTCTCTAAACTTGAAATTTTAAATAGTCTCTCTAAAAAATTTCACATAATTTCTCTATCTAAAATTTGATATAGTTTATCTCTAAAATTTTAAGATACGTTTTCTCTCTAAAACTCAAAATTTGAGATAGTTTCTCTCTCTAAAATTTTAAGATAGCTTCTCTCGCAAAAAATTTCAATTAGTTTCTCTCTAAAAATTTCAATTAGTTTCTCTCTCTAAAATTTGATATAGTTTCTCTTTCTAAATTTTAAGATACTTTCTCCATCTAAGACTTAAAATTTGAGATACTTTTTTTCTCTAAAGCTTTTGAGATAGTTTATCTCTCTAAAACTTTCAAGCAATTTCTCTCTCTAAAATTTGATTAGGTGTTCTCTCTAAAGTTTTATGATACTTTCTCTCTCTAAAAATTCAAATTTGATATAGTTCCACTGTCTAAAATTCTTGAACTAGTTTCTCTCTGGAAAAATTCAAGTAGTTTCTCTCTCTACAATATAATGTAGTTTCTCTCTCCAAAATTTTAAGATACTTTATCCATCTAAAATTTATAATTTGATATAATCTGCCTCTAAAAATTTTGAGAAGGGTTCTTTCTAAATTTTTTTAGGTAATTCTCTCTAAAATGTGATATAGTCTCACTAAAATTTTAAGATACTTTCTCTAAAACTTGAAATCCGATAGAGTTTCTCTCTCTAAAAAATTTGAGATAGTTTCTCTATCTAAAAAGTTTCAGTAGTTTCTCTCTAAAATTTGATATAGTTTTCTCTTTTCAAAATTTTAAGAGATTTTCTCTCTAAAACTTAAAATTTGAGGTGGTTTCTCTCTCTAATGTGTGTGGATATTTTGGCATAATTAATTATATTTAATAAAGTGGGCAGCTCCGGTGCGTGAAAATAGTATTATCATCAGTTGTATTATATTGTATTCCCCCTTTCACGCCTACACAAACCATGTTTTGGACAACCCAATTTTTTTGTTGATTTTGTGTACCCATGTTTTGACCCCCTTTCTTGGTTATAGAAAACATGGTTATGTATCCAAAAAAGTTGCCAAAAATGTTTTTATAGTAGATACCCTGAGTATACAAAACATGGTTTTGGATACCCTAGGATCCAAACTTAATGACTTAGCCTCGTGCAAAATAACCTGAGGTTGAGGCAAAGGTACTGATAAGTTGACAACAAATTCCAGTGAAGGGCTGTTATAGCATTTTTATGGTATCAGTGTATGAATAACCTAGTGAAATATTGTGAACTGGAGGACCATTTAAAGGCCTGCATGCCGGGACTCCTATGATTGAGACAAGATTGATGTCATTGAAGGCATGGAACATATTTGAGAATACTCGATGGAAATAGAGCCACCGGAAATAGAGCCACCACAAGAGGGTAACTTTTTAGTGCTTGATTTGGATTTCTTAAATCATTTTTTACTTATTCAAAAAAACTAGACTCTTATACAATTATGAATACGCTACGGTTTATCAATAATATCAAATCTTTCTCTTCGCTGGTGGGGATGAGGATCTAATGGGTTTCAATGGAGACAAAACCAATGATTATAATGAGGAAGATCGTAATTAAGTAGATGATGGAGAAGAAAAAAATAACATGAAGATCATGCATTATGTGATCCTTTTGAAGGCCATGTTTTTGTAACTTTGAATTTCTTTATGGTTTTGTGTCTTTGTGGAATGAGCATGTGAGACAATTATGTTATGGGCTTACGTATGGATATTGGATTCACTTTACTAATTTACTAGCTTAATTCCCCTTAATTCCATGTTTAATTGTTTATTGCTCAAAGAGTTAGTCTCTTAATCGAATGCTTCACATGACGTATTGTTATTTTGTAAATTTAGCTAACTTATAATTTCCATATTGTTCATATGAATTTTCTATTTTGCAATTTTAAAAAGTTCAGGTTGTTTTCTTTTTTCTCCATTTTCTCAATTTACTTTGTATTTTCTGAATTTTTTAATGATATTTAAAATTCGACCAATATGACTGGTGAACCAGTATGGTTCGACTAGCCCATCTGAACTAGTGCCTCCACCAATTCGATGGTTGTTCTGGTCTTGATAAAAATTCTCAGAACTGAATGATATAGGGTTATTTTAGGCTTGCTGACTTTTACTATGATTATATGAATGCCAATAATAGTTTTGTGGAATTCATGGACGAAACCACGTTCAAATTGATTAAAAATTTATTTTAAGAGTTTACCAAGTTACTACCAGAAAAAAACTCGCTATAGAGTTTTTCAAGCTTCAATTTCATTTCAAATTATTATATTTAAAAAATTTATAATTCAAAAAATAGAAGGAAAATCTAACTTTTATTTAAAAACTGTAAACAAGTGATCTTTCTACTTTAAAGTAACTCTCATATTACCCAAAAACATAAATTCAAATGGACTACACTTCAAGATGCAAACCAAGGAGAACGGACAAATTGAGACATATATCCAAGGGCCATAACACATGAGTATTTCACATTCCATAATGCTTTTCTATAACAAGTTTGACTTAGTTGTATGATGTTCAAAAATATTTGTAGTTCTAAAATCTTGTTAAACTCTAATTCAACCTTTTTTTAAGCAAATAAGACGTACTCATTAGAATAATTTCTTTATCGGCATTCCTAATCTGCGATATAATTTTCTAAATAAATAATTATGACCAAGGCATGAAATAGAAAATGCAATGCTCGAATAAAAAACAACAAAAATTACAAGCACAAGGAACAAATACATAGTCCAAACCTTTGGAATCGAGAAATGAATGTCAAGTTTCCTCCTCCGTAATGGCTTATTTTGGAGTGCACGCATAGCCGTCCGAGCAGAGCGGATGTCATAGTAGGAAATCATCACAAATCCCCTATGTTTGCATGCAGTATAAAGGGTCCTGATGGCACCATATGCCTACAAAAAGGATAAAACTCTATCAATAATGACTGGATGCAAAAAGTAAAGGAAAGAAAGCATGTGTAAGAAACATACAAAAACAACAAATGTTGTAAGCTTATCAGGAATATTGTAGCTCCTAAAAATTAAGTTGCATATAAGAGAAAGTTGCAGACAAAAGAGAGCATTAGCCTGAACATGTATTCTTCAGGTAACAAAGACACTGTGAAGCAAAGAAGGAAGCACAAATCTCTTCATTATAAGAAGGACCAATTACAATTTCTGAAAAATATAAGAATTACAACATCCATAGTCCCCAAACATCTAGTTTGGACTCTTGTAAGAGGATTCATGTACAAAAGAATAACTGTCAAAATAATGAAGTTAAATTTTTATACTAGGTTAGTAGCATATAACTTAAGCAAAATGCAAGGGCGCAGAATTCGGTACAACAATTTCTGTTCACATACTCACCAGAAACCCTTGCAACCACACCAGTCAGAGCTGGCACAATGCCACAGTTTGCATCAGTAAAAACTGCTCATCTAAGTCCATAAATTCCTCCCTAACACAAGTTGCCACATCAAACAACTAGGAACCTTAACATGCCGACTTACCTGAACTCAAACTCAGATACCCAACTTTGCACACTGATTAAGCAAGACATCCTGATCTCACTGGTTAAAAAAACAGCCTCATTGCTTAAGGATGGACCAAACTTCCTAATGTTGCAAATGAAGATAACGAAAGTATAAATCTTGCAAACATTAAATTATACATACTGAGGATAGCGCACCAAGATAACGTACCCAAAGCAGTATTAATCAAGACATGTTTCCCATTTTCACCCAAAGGAAAGGAGAACAACATACCTAAGTCACACTCAGCTCCTTCCCATAACTCTAGAATGTATCACCCTTTTAAGTTTCAGTCCACACTACAAGCAACACAACCCAAAGGACTGTTTAGATGCTAGGCATCCTTTCTCTTGAAATCCATAAATGACAATTACAGCCTAACAACCTTCATGAGACATGACCTGATGACCAATTTCCATTAGTCCCTAATAATTTCTTCCCATGGAAAAAAACAGTCCAGGCATTAATTTCGCTTCAATTCACTCAAAAGGTTTCATGCTCCTGAGGGCGGTTCTCAATTAAATTAGTTTGGGTCCAGATTCAGCGAAGAGGTCCTACATGACTTGACTTAAAGGATGTTAGAAAGACAACCACTCATCCGAGGGCCAAACAGTTCACTTGACCTGCTCTACATGGTAGACTAATCACCACTAAATGATTACGATCTCTCATGCTTAATCTAGCCTCTTGATGCCGCTACTATGAGCAATCAGCCAATCACTTAGTGCTTGTGCTTGACGGTAAGTGACCAAGTTATTATTGTGATACTTCATAACCATGTGTGGGAACATGACCTTCTTCAGACATTCTTAGAATAGAGGAAGTATAATTCAGATAAAAAAGAACACTGTATATTTGAAGATCTATATCTTCCTGGCTACCATTTGGTGCCATTGAAACAAAAGAAACAGGCGCATTTTAGAAGGCACCTGTTCCTTTCATCAGAAAATAGAGGTTTCATCATGTAGAAGAGTTATCATCAGCAATATCAATTACAATCGGCTGCAATCCACTCCACCTAATGCAATGGCCGGTCCACTTCTAGGTTTTTCTCAAATTGAAAATCGATGGTGCTTCTTTTGGAAATCCAGGAACTGTCGATAGTGGTGTCCTCATTCATGAGCACACCAGCCAGTATTTGATTGGCTTTACAGTGCCAACTGATTTTAGATTCAAACCATAGTTGTTGGAAATGCCTGAGATTCAGAAACAATTTAGAAAATGGAAGGATGGAATCGCGGGCGGGTAGAAGATTCCAATTGTTGGAATCATTGCCCATACAATGCGAATTGGAAGCATTGAGATTCCCAATCTATCAGAATCATGTTCCAACCTAAATGGAAACAAGATTCCTACCTCTTCAGAATCGCAACCCATTTGGAATCGAAATTCATACCTTTTTGGAACCTAGCTTCACCCAATCCGAATCGAGACCACACACCCAAAAACTTACGACAGCAACAGAAATTAACAGGAACACGTTTCATAGGGCAAAAGGTTCAAGTTTCTAGACGAAACTTAAGAGAGAATCTCTTGGTATTGGAGTTGGTATATTGAATAAGCTTACCCATGGTTCCCCTAGTAATAGGATCGATGTTCTCAACGGTCCTAAAGACCTAACCTAGTATTGAAATCGATGTATTGAATGGCATTAATTACACATCCACATGTACTGGAATCAAGGTTGAGTGGCCTTAATACTAGATTTGAGGGTCACTGTGGTTCTGTATAGAATAAAGAAATTAAAAATACTTGATTTGTTAGTAATAAAATTTAGAAAAAAAAGATATTTGTTTTCGGTTATCAGAAATTAGGAATGGAAGTACTGTTAGCAGACATTCAGAGTTCTTAGACAACGATTGTACATTAAATAATAATAAATTTGAAATAACACAATGTTTTACTAGTCCACTAAGGAATCTGGGCATAACAAATATTATCTTATGTATATCTTTGAAATGAGATTTTGGTTTTGATGTATATAGTTGAAAATAAGACTTAATTTTTGTCTTTGTGACGCTCTATGTTGTAATCCAAATCGAACCCTCTATTTCCCAATTATCTTTAACTAGTAACAACCAAGTTCTACGACTAGTAAACTGTAGTATTTGATGCTGCCAAATCTGGATTTCCAAAAAAAGACCAAAAAACAAAAATGGATCAAGATTCTATAAAGGTGGAAGCGAGATCCCATGCTGATCGAATCGCGCTTTCATGCATGCACCTATGAACCGCGGTATTTGACGTTGGGGAATTTGGATTCCAAAAAAATTAAATCGAGCATCAATAAATGTGGAACCAAGATTCCTAACTTCATGGAAATGGGTTCCATAAAGATTCCTGGGAAGGACTAGCCAAATCCGGATTCCAAACGGGAATCGCCACCTTAGGTGAGAGATTCCGGTAGTTATGATTCAAACAATGCAGCCAAATTCAATGCTTTGAAGAAAGTTGCAGATTTGGCTATGCAACTCAATTGTACCAACTAAGTCATAGAAAGGGGTTATATGCTTTTGGTAGAATTTATGGCAACTAGGTTTTCTCCTCGGTGTTTAGAAACTCTCCTAAATTGTCGATGGAAGCTTTATGGCATACAGTGGTCTATCAGACATGTTTACCGAGAGGTAAATCAAGTGGCCAATACACTTGCCAAACATACGGCAAGATCAACGGTGGAAACAATTTGGCAGGCAGACTAGACCTGGTTTTCTTGTTACGTTCTTCTCTTTTTTTTTCTCCTTTTTTGATGTAACAAAATTCTCCCGTTAAAAAGCTGGCTCCATGCATTTAATGTTTTTAAACTCTCCTAAAAGAGTGTCTTAATAATTATGACGAGAGGGATCTAATTGCAACAAAAGACATGGATGATGGGAGTTGTTGGTTAATCCTGGATCAAAGGAGATCTTCCCAAGAGAGATCTTCCCTGGAGAGGGTTTGACCTAGGATATGGTTGAGGACGCTTCGGGCAATTTTCCAACCCTTGAACATCTAGATTGACAGATACTCCTAGTTCATATAGGAGGACGGATATAGAGGAGGATGTCGATTCAAAAGACATTGAGGAGGGTTCTTATGTTGAAGTGACTGAAATTTCTAATGATGATGGCCTGGCATAAGATGGAGGTGTCAAGGTTGAAGCAAATGATGACAAAGACGATGAAGATTGAAGACCAAATTGCCTCTTTTGTATTATTTTATTTTTCTCAATATTGTAGATTGGAATGTGCATGGACCTATGGTCTTGTCCTTAACTGCTAATGTATTTCAATATTTGAGTACTTTTAAGACTTCATGGTATTGGGCACAGAGCCATGGGCTAACATATTCAGCTGTATGGTAGTGATATATAGATTTTGGCTATGTTACTGCTACAATCTTTTACTATTACTTCTTGCTAGCTTAATCTTAAATTTACTGATTTACAATCCTGATGTGATTCAATAATGAAATGTGATCACAAATTATAATATCTCATCATGTTGCATTCTAACAAACATTATAATATCTCATCATGTTGCATTCTAATTTTCTCATCTTAAAGTCCAACAAACATTTTTCATCTCATCATGTTGCATTCTAATTTTCTCTATTACTCAATGTCCGTTGAATGATGGGAGCAATTTCGTGAGATGCTCCCAAACTTCAGGAGTTCATTGTCTCTATCCACAAGGAGATAAATTTTGTGAGTTCTCAGCTCTAGAGGGCATTGAAAAGAAAATGGATAACTTCATGGAGATGGAAGCACCACAAGGTGGTAAATTTAAGACTAATATGATGCCCTAACTTTAAGCACTTTATTTGGGCTGTTAGCAAATGTTGATGGCTTACAAAGTAAGACTCATAGGCTCCTATGATATATGATTTGTCAGAAAATAATTAGCTTATGACATTGCATATTATAACTAAGTAATATATGATCTTCCCCATAGCTGGTGGAGATGATGATTATAGGCTTTTAATAGACTCAACCTTTGTTGCTTTTATTACAGTCCTCTACCACAAAAACAAAAACAAAACAAAACAAAACAAAAAGAGGCTTTCAATGATGACAAGGAAGGTGGATATGATGAAGGAGATGAAAATGAAGATGAAGATAACAAAGATTGTTTATTTTTAGCTTTGGCATTTGTGCGTATATACTAGGTTATCATTTGTGTTATGCAACAACCTAACAATGGAATGTGGACTTGTGCAGTTATGCATGGATTATCACTTTATGACTTTGTTGTCTTTTACTTTATAATTCTATTACTATATAACTTCATGACAGTGAGTCAATGGGAGCATGCCAACTACCAACTAGGACTATGGAGCCATGAATGGCACTATGGAAAATGGATAATAAATGTGAGTATGATTATAATCACACATGATTCGCATTTGTTGCTCATCATCAATCCTATTTTCATTGTTATTGTTTGATGAATTAGTAATATATTGGAGTGTGCATCTTGCGACTTAGTGTGATATTTACATATTTGCCTCTAATCTCATGGCTTTATGAATGTGTAATTTTCTTATTGTTCCTAATCATTGTCTGACTTATTTCTAAGTTTCCTAGATTTTCAGGCTGTTCCTTGTTTCTGTTTATTTTTCAACATGTTTCAATTTTTCCTGAGAATTTTCTAGTTTTTTTAATTTTGACCAGTTTGTCTGGCGGACAAATCCGGTTCGACTAAACCAAGTGACCCACCAGTTTAACCTCCAGTCTGGTCTTAATAACACACACAGGCATGCACATACATGCACACACAAACACAAGCCCACACACACACACATGTTTCGGATACATATATACGCATATATTACACACGTATTCATATATGTGCATTTGGAGCGCATATATGTCCAAAGATATGTGTTTGGGGTGCCTCAAAACCAAGGTGCCCACTTAGGTGCCCACTTAGGCGCCCACATCAAGCCTAGGCTATGAGAGCTCCCTGGCTGCCCAATACATTAATAGCAAACATGTATGAAATACACATATGCATGATTATACATATGTATGCATATATGTGCTTTTGAAGCGCATAAATGTGCACATCTATGTGTTTTGGTTGCCTCAAAACCAAGGTATCCATTTAGGCGCTCGCATCATGCATAGACTATGAGACCCCTTGGCCAACTAACATTGAATAAAAAAACACTTTTATTTAATTATATTGCAAATGATAATAAAGAATATTATATCGGGCAAAGTGGCAAACCATATATATGTCCAGCCATTTTCTTCACATATCACCCTTCATTTCAATGTAACAAAAAAACAATGAAGTACAAATACATAAATTTAGAAATATTGAGTGAGAGACGGATAGAATCTCTCTCTCTCTCTCTCTCTCTCTCACAATGTTTTTTATTTTTTTAAAATATGATAGGTCAAAATTTCATACCATTTGTGACAAGAGTTAGGCCCATTATTCACTATATAGAGCATTAGGAGCATTGAATTTAGAACTCCCTCTTTAATTGATGCAAAGTTAAGAAGAACATGACTTTTATTAATTATTTGAGGGATGCATTTATTGAGTTCCTCTATTTGACAACTATGCATTTATTGCTCTCTTTTTTTACAATTGACATTCATTTATTGCTTCTTTTCCTATAAAATATAAAGAATATGGGCGTGTTTGCTTGTTGACTGACCCTTGTTGGATTGGCATCACACTCCCTCCAGTATTAGATGGAGGCAACACCATGATAAGAGGATGGAGTTGCATTCCCTGAGCAAGATCATCACTCACGTTAAGAGATCCGTGTAACTTCCATTGACCTAACACACCCATTCAAGACCATGAGCCTCTGACAAATCATGAAAGAGATGTGTCGCTGAACACCTCCCGGTCACATACTGAGCATTTCTCCCATTCTGTACAAACTTTGATTCAGTCTTACTCACGACTCTCATCACTCATATACCCCTCCAGATCAACCACCACAACCAACATAGCACTAAATACATAACCCACACCACCCACTCTACTTAATGGAGGCATTCTATACACCTTCCCACATCAGCTTAGATAATAGCCAAAGAAAATCATAACCTCGCACCTTGAAATGTATTAAGTTGACAACAGACTACTTGCTTCAAAAAAGCATCCACTAAGTTTAGAAACAGGAAATGATCCCCAGTACACGAGGGGAGACAAGAAAGGAACCAACCAATGGGTTAATCAAGATCCTTTGTCCCCGCAGTTTCTCTTAGTTTTACGCTTCATGAATTACAAATATCCACTCCGTAGGCTATAAGAAGCATCTCTAGGTACTTTCCTAATTGATTTTGGAACCACTTTTTCCACCTGAAGAATATATTGCTAAAGTTAAGCGCAGGAACTTGCTTGTCTGAATTCGAAGTTGCATATTAT